TTAAGCGACTGGAGCGAAACCAATACGGCTGTTGCCCATATCGAATTCGGTGTAGTAAAGACCAATGAAGATATCACCCAAGATCCAGAAGTCAGTACCCATGTAGCTGACGGCAGGTGAGCATAGTCCCTCAGATTCGATAACGTATTGCGAGGCTGGGACGGCGAAGGTGGTACCGCCAATGACGAATTCCAAATCGGGAAGGCTGCTGACGATTGAGCAATCAATATAACCATCACCATCGGGATCGACGACGTTCATGTATGCTACATAACCGTAGTATGGAGCAACAATGAGGGAGGTGCCAGTGTCGGCGATGGCTTGGCAACCACCACTGCACAAGAGMAGATTGCCAATGCTACCGCTATCTACAGTGAATTGCCAATAGCCTTCCTGAGAGACGGGCACATATGTGAGACTACCTTGGTAGAGGCTGGGATCGGAACCACCCAAAATCATTTCACCACCCTGCGATGAGGTGCCATCACGAGCCAAATAGAAGGAGAATAGGTTTTGGCTGATCAAACCCTGAGACCACATGTTGTAGAATGGTGGCACTACTTTGTCATTAGAAATTTGTTGGAAAGCCATACCCATTAAACCATCGAAATTGGAGTAAAGGAAGCTGGTACCGGGTTCTTGCATAGCTTCAGCGAATACTTGGTTCTGAATGGTGAGTCCAGCTACTCTGACGGTATCTTGTGACAGGAAACCAGACAAACTACCGGAGCCGTATTCGATGGAGAAGAATTCGCCATTGGGTACATAAGTGCTGGAAGCGCTCGAGTCGTATTGGTTGTGAGATTGGCAAGCTTCGTTGCTGATGGGGCAGCTGGATGATGGCACCCATAAGTTTGAGGAACCAGAATCGAACAGTACCAAGAACTCCTGTGGTGGTGTACCGATGGTGATCTTGCCATAGTATTCCATATTCAAGCTGTTATCCAATTGCTCGGTGGCACGAGGACTGGGAACATTGTATTTACTGCGCAAGTAAGCCGTTTCAGTTTTCACGGACTGGTGTGTTCTACGGTAGTTGGGGTTCTTGTAGATGGGCACACGCACCATGTTGGCCGAGGCCAAGGCGGCGCAAATGGTGAAGAATACGAAGAACTTGAACATTTTGCTGTTGGAAAG